TTCTGAAGAGAAGAAGTGAATATTTTTGCTTTCGAGGCATTTGTTAACTTCTCAGAATAACTGTCTTTCTTCCCATAGAAGTCACTATTACTTCTATATTGCTTGTAGCAAGTAAGTGGAAATGAAATAAGAGTATGGGGCCAGCAGGTGGTATGGAGATTAAGGCACTGAATCCCACATGGCCAACTGTTCTTTTTGAGTTCTTAACCCAGCAGCTTGAAAATCACACTGGGCACATATTCAAGCATGTTCAAAATCTCGAGAGAAGACGAGAAGGGATTGCAGTGTGGTCATCCCCACAATGGTCTATTTCTCCCTCTGTCTCTCTGGCTAGCACATATTCCCTATAGCAAAAACTATAAGGATTATAAAAAAAGGAAAAAAGTGAGAGTATGGACAGGTATTGGCTTCAGTTTAATATTGATTACAGATATTTCTACTTTATAAGTAAGAACCTGCATGTTATTAGACAAAATATAAGGATATATTGGGTCGCTGGAAAAGTCATGTGTGTCATGACTTTTCTGATGACCCAATGTGAAGGAAATAAATAGCTGGCTTTCATACACGCAAACAGGCACAGTAGTTTCTATTTCCTTTCCTGTATTGCCTGAGGATTGTCCTTTTTTAATAGTGCTTTGCTGATTCCTTTAAATAACTCATAATGTAAGTATTCCCTGGCTTCCATTAATCATAATTTTTCAGGCTTTCTTTTTCTTAAATCTTGATCCATTTGGTTGTTGGTTTACCAGCCCCCTTTTAGTCTGGTTGGTGAAACAGCAAGCCTACTGTAAATCCTAAGTGGCGTGGTATATATGAGAGTGTAAGACTTTAATTATATGTCATTTTATTCTCAACATCCAGTTCCAGGAAGGAAAAAAACGGCTCTGTTGTTGTAAAAGACATATTATGTGAGTATCATTTATTGTAAACCCAAAATGATACCGTATTATGGCATAGACAACAATAAGAACTGATTCTGAAAATGTGACCTGTCTGAGAAACTGAATAATAGTGAAAGTTATCAAAATGGAAAGGAGTGTTAATGTGAAATCCAGCCTTCTCAGAAATACTCTTTCCTGGCCTGTTTGGTTTTGCTTTTGTTGCTTGTCATGCATGAATGAAAGCGCTATACTCTCAGGGGAGCAGGAAAGCCTCTCTGTCGGTTGTTTATTTCCTTAATCCCTCCTCCTTTGTGATTTTTGATGTCAGATCTAAAATGGAAAGCCTGTAAATATAATGATTATCACATGGATAATCACCTGCATTAGGAACCGCCCTGCTTCTCTATTCTAACCCTAGCTGTTCTCCACATGTCACATCCACTCTGCAGTTGGATTTTAACCTGACTGCTTCATTAGATTTGTGAAACTCAGTACGAGGCGCCCTGGGGCAGCACAGATGGGGACTTGCTTGTTTTCTTTTCTCACTTTTACTGCGAAGGCACACTAAAAAGTCCTTTTCAATTTAGTGTGATCAGTTCACTTGGAATTACTCTTGATATTTGGAACCAGGCTTATCCTTCTGCCCACCATCCTATGCCCATTCTTTCTTCCCTGCTTTCTGACCTAATGCCTTTTCTTTCTGTCCCTCTGTGCCTTGACTCTGAGAACTAAAATTCTGCTTTAAATTCTTACTGTGTCGGATTGTTCCCCTGTGTTGTTTTGTTTGTTTTGCTGAGAGGGAAAAGTAAATGTTGTTCCATCATTGTATCTACAGACACCTTCAGATCAGAGGTTAGCTGTGAGAAAGTCTGCAGTGATGTGAGCCAGCTGTCTTCTCTAATGGAGTGACTTGTGGCACCAGCCCAAGATCAAAGGAAGGTGGGAGGAAGTCAGATGATAAGATCACTTTAAGCCACCGAACAAGTGTTTAGCTTTTCTAGTGATAGGGCACAGCTTAGCAAACCTGTGTGAGGGGGTACTAGGACAGAAAATCAAGTAGACTTCTCAAAATCTGTCCTTTCTCAGACAGAAATATCTTGGTGCTTGGAATAATTTGCAGATGTGTGTCTTAGCACCTGTTTTCCTTAAAAAAAATTATTTGACATTTATGTGTGTCTTCTTGTTTCTAATTGTCTCATTTCTTTTTACATTTATATAAGCAAAACTAGACACTACAAAATAATAATTATTGTATGTGGATTTTTAGTCTTTATGTCTCAGTGTAATATTAATCCTATGGATTCCTTATTTTAACTTGTCTTTTAGTCCTCTGAGATTCTTTCATGCCTCTGATAGTTCCATATAAATGAGTATTTATAGCAGACCATTTCAGCTGCCTTTTTCATATAAGAATTAGCGTGGATTAATTATGATAGGTTAGAAAACACTACGTTGAGGGACCAGCAGTTAGCATAATGGCTATGTCGCTGGACTCCCACATAGTTGACCACGGTTCGCATCCCGGACCTGGTGGCTTAAAACTCACGTTTGTGCGTTTTGTACGCGTGTGCGTACGTGCCCAAGATCCCAAGAGGAGGATGGAGGAGAAGGGATTGCGGTGTGACCATCCCCCCTAGGGGGTGATTTCTCGCTTTCTATCTCTCTGTCTCTCTCTGTCTGTCTGGCGAGCGCACGAGCCCTATAAGTGAAAACCTCTCCAAAAAAAAGGAAAAAAAAGAAAACACTATGTTGATATCTTCTGAGTTTTACCTCTTTCCTCAAATTCTCAGCTAGCAAACATTACTGAGTATGTGATGTACAGGTTCTGTTATATGTAAATTGTCAGGAGACTAACTTTGTTTGAGCCAATTATCAAGATGGGGGGGGCTGTAATACTAAGGCTAACTTTGTCAGCCTTGTTTTTCTCTAATGAATAGCCTAAGGAGTTGTACTTTCAGCTTATCACTTTGTGTTAACTTCAGTGTTCAACTGTAATTGTGTGTTTTGACCTTCCCAAACCGTCAACATTGTTCTCTAAATCTATAAATTGTTAGTATATTGGACCATAATTGTATACATCTTTTTTCTGTGTTGTCTTCAACATGCAGATAGTACCCAGATTTGTGCTAGAGACACTAAATGTACTTTCTGCCCTACATGGTTTGGTGCGACAGTCGTTTTAGTTGAGTTGGATCTGCTCACTACTCAGGCTCAAATCCCATCCTTCTATTAATATCTTTTGGCAAAGATAATTTTGGAGGAATGTAAGTAAAGATGTAGAGGCTCTTGACAGTCGTTTGCAGTTTTTTTCATTTTCAAGAGGGAAGTAAAGTTGAAAAGTAGTATTTCATCCATGTTCTAGTAGTCCTGAAATTAAAATACATGCACAAAGAAAGGGGGAGGGTTTGGTTACACAGGTGTGGTTTTGTCAATTGCTATCTTTTACAAAGGCATGCAGGTATATAACAATGTTCATTAGATTTTGTCCTTAAAATATTTTAAAATATACGAGTGCTTCGTATATTAAAAAATTAACTATGTTTTTAATGTTTAACTTTTGTTATTCTGTTATTTTATATAAAAGAGTAATTGGGAGTTTTGGGGGGCTGCTTATTACAAAATAATTAAAGTTTCTTTCTGTAATTGACAGAGGACATCTGTGCTCACCGGGAATTGAGAGAGAGAAAAAAAGAGAATGCATGCCCCCAGTTGGGTATAGTCATACTGCAATCCCTTTTCTCCATTTCCCCATCCTGTCAGGATTGGGAGCACATATGCACATGCGCCCAGCATGTTTTGCAAGCTGCCAGGGCTAGGATTCAAATTGTAGTCAGCCATGTGGGATCCAGCTCCCAATGCACATCATTTAACCACTATGCTATGTGGTCAGCCTATACAAATTTTTTAAAGAAACAAAAAAGTAGCAGTATAGAACCACCACATACTGTGTAGGTCTAGACTTAACAATTAACATTTTGCCATTTTTGCTTCATTTATTTTTTTTCCCCCTGAAGTATCCTAAAGTTAAATGCATATATCATCATGACACTGTAAGGTTTAGCTCTGAAACTTAAGGGCATTTTCCTAACAAACTGGTAATTCCTAATATTATTTGATCCTCATTTTAATAACTTTCTCCTTTTGTCCCCAAAATGTCTTTTATACCTTGTTTTTTCAAAACAACATCCAGTTAAAGTTCATACATTGCTCTTTGTCATTTCCCCTTCTCTACTTATCATCATGTTGGCTTGTTAAAGAGACTATAAATTAGATGTCCTGGAGAATGTCCTAGCTTATGAATTTGTCCAATTGCTTTTGCTGTGTATCCTTTGTCTTGTTCCCTTGTCTTCTGTATTTCTTGTAGACTGCACATTATTGGGCTAGAGTTTGATCAATTTGTGTTAAAAGTTTTTGTCAGAATTCTTCATGGGTAATACTATGGACTTCATATTGCATCATATCAGCACAGAATATTTGTTGATCCCACTATTAATGACGATAAGTGATGGGATTGATCACTGGGTTAAAGTGAAGACAGCTTGATCCTTTCATTATAAAGTTATGCTTTGCTCCCAGTGACCAGAATATAATCGGTTATATTTTGAGTCCATGGAAATACCCAGTTCCCCCATCATCCTTTGGATTTTAACATCCTTAGGTGATCTTTATCTGCATAACTTTCATATGGGAGTTGCAAAATGGTGATTTTTCTGAATCTACACTTATTAGCAGGTATTCTTTTTACATTAGAGTGTTCTAAGAGGTATTATTTTAATTAAAAACATAACCACCAGGATGTTCTTTGAGTTTCAAATGATTGTCTTTCTTTGCTGAGGTCAGAACACCTGAACTCACTGTGGCAGATACAGTAAAACATGCACTACATCTTCTTTATTCTAACTTGGGAAATATGTTGACATTATGCCTGCTTTTTTTTTTTTTTTTTTTTCATTATGCCAAGGGGGGGGAACCTTTTTTGGTATAAGAATAAAACTTGAACTATGTGGGTATATTGAAATACTTGTGTAAAAAGAAGACGATTTGAATGAGTTTCAAAATGGATTATTTCATTACCTAGTACTTTATAATTAACTGTTCTTTTTTTTTTTATTTCAGGAAGCTGCCACTTTTGCTAGAGAGCAAGGCTTTGAGGTGAGTTAACCCACAATTGCACACTAAACAGATCCTAAAGGTTTTTTCTAGCTGATAATGAAGTTCTTTTGGACAGTGATTGATGTGCTATTATACTCTCAGAGCCTCGCAGCAGTTACCATGGAAACTTGGCAGTCGTCATGGTTTCTTTGTTCTGCCAGCACAGTGTTATGACGCACTCTGCTAGGTCTGCACCCAACATCGCCTACAGATGTTATTTATTGAATTTTGAAAAGCCTCTTGGGAAGCCAAGAGGTTGGGCACGGTTTCAAGCTGCCTCTGCAGATATGGGGCCTGTCAGTTTGTTCAGTTAAAAAGCTACCTCATTAGCTGCATTACATTTCATAAGGATTCACTGCTAAAGCAGTGGTAGAGCAAAACTAAATAGTGAAATATAATGTCAGTTAAATAATTTCAACCCTATCACATGTATATTATCATTAGGCAAATTAATTTCCAGAAGGTTGTACTTAACAGTTGTTAGGAACTGATTAATTTAAATCCTACTCGTATAAACTTGCTATTTGAATCTTTTTTTTTTTTCTTCTCGCCTCTCTTTTTTGTTTTTTGGCTAGCATAAAATATATATAAAATTTCTGAAACAAAATACTGATAATTGGCTGTAATTTCTACATCCAGATTCTGTTTTCCTAATAGAAGTATTATCCTATTCAGGATTCAAAACTTCATGTGGTTTTTGTTGGCAAAATTAAGGTAACAGTCAAGACCATGTTTTTATCTTTACAATATCCATCTTCCAATTGATTGTTAGAAAACACTGCCATTAATCTGAACTCAGGTTAATCGACAGAATTAACTGAGTTTATGAGTCCTTTATGACAATGCTATTTATTGAGCCAGACCTGTGTAGAATACTGTGTTCTGTACATCAATTAGAAATGTTAGTTGATAGTAATTTTAAAAATTCTAATCTGATTATAGCTAGAATATAGGAACTCTGCCTCTTCTCTTCTTATTTGCATACTTAGTATTATCTGCCACACAGAGAAGTTGTGAACATCAACTGGATAGTGTTAGTATGCTTTTTTTGAACTTTATGTATGTATATGTGTGTGCGTGTGTGTATTCTAGAGGACACTTGTGCTTGTTAGAGAGACAGAGAGAGAGGGATAGTGAGAAATCACCCTCTCACCCCCATGGAAGACAACCACGCTATAATCCCGTCTCCATTTCTCCTTTCAGGGTTTTGGGAACACATGTTCATGCACCTAGCATATTTTTTAAGCTGCCAGGTTCAGGATCTAAACTGTGTAGTCAGTCATGTGAGATCCAGTTTTCTCAACCACCATGCTACTGGCTGGCGCACTTTGAACTCTTTAGAAAAAGATCATGTATAAATCAGGGATGGGACTGATGTTTAAATGGCTAAAAATGGATCTTTTATCAAACAGCAAAGAAATACACATGCATTATGTCCATGCCATGGTTCTGACAAACCATACAGAGAGTTTCTTTTTCATAGGAGAGGACAATGAGCATGTGCTGTAAGTATTCTACTCTCAAGATTCTATGAAAGAACTATGTGAGGGTAGGAAAGCCTGCATCATGGTACACAATTTTTGGAAACTGTGATGGTTACTTGGGAGTTGCTTTTTTTGTTTTACCATATTATAGTGAAAAGTACAGGGTTGATTGAATCACATAGAGAAAGGATTTCCAGGGCCAGCAGATGGTGTGGAGGTTAAGGTGAATGGATCCCACATGGCTGACTATAGGGTTCAGATCCCAGCCCAGTGGCTTGAAAAACATGTGGAGTGTAGGTGTGGGTGTGCCCAAAATCTCAAGAGCAGAATGGAAGAGAAGGAATTGCAATGTGGCCATCCTCCCTTAGGGGGGTACTTTCTCAATTGTTCTCACTGTCTCTCTCTCTCTGTCTCTGTCTGTCTCCCATGAGTGTATTGGCCCTATAGCAAAAGTTTTTTTAAAAAGAAAGAGAACTTCCAAAGATTTTTTTCCCTTCTAATTTAAGTTTCACCTTATAATTTGTCAAACTGGCCATTGACATACAGGACAAAATCTAATTAAGGCAATATTCGATTTAAAACTAAAATATTTTGATCATGAGAAGATACATGTTTTCAGTCTTCTTTTAAGGTTTTATTGATATTAAGTTTTAATGCTAAAAATTTATATTCTCTGTTGAGACATCAAAATTCCCCACAGATGTGCTGCTCCCATAGTACAGTGGTTAGATTCTGCACAGAGGAAACTGAATCTCCCATGTCTGATCAGGGTTCAGATCCTGCTCACATCTTCATGCTGGGTGCACTGCTCATGTCTAGAGTCCTGACAGAATGGAAAATTGGAGAATAAAGGATTGTGTAATGACCAAACTCCTTTGGTGGTGCTTCCCCCCCCCCCCTCTCTCTCATGGACAAACGTACATTCTGTAGCATGTACCAAAAAATAATTGCACAGATAAAAGTGTTTCTTTGGAGAGGTTTTTGCTATAGGGTGTGTGCGCTTTCCAGAAAGACAGAGAAAAACGGAGACAGAAAGCGAGAAATCATCTCCCAAGAGGGGATGGCCATGCTGCAGTCCCTTCTCCTCCATTCTCCTATCTGGATCTTGGGCACGCACACCCAGCATGAGTTTAAGCCACCAGGTCCAGGACTCAAACCACGACTGACTACATGGGAGTCCAGTGACATACCTGTTACACCAACTGCTGGTCCCTGCACAGATAAAAGTTGATTACATAAGTTTGTATCTTGTCAGTTACCTGTGGTGCCATAAAAAAATATATTTTGGTTCTATAAAATAACGAATTTTGCAGATACCTAGAAATATGTTACATAACAAATGATTATGATCCTGCAGTCTCTAGATAATAATTTGTGTTTATGATAGAGAATGTGTGCATGAGCATGGGAGAGAGAGAGAATGCACCCTCTGCAGGGGCTCATCCAAGTACGATCTCCTTTCCCCAGCCTTGCAGCACCAAGGGTCTTGAGTGCCTGAGAACACACCTCACATGTTTTTAGGCTGACCCAGGTATCTAACATCATGTTTGGCCAGGTAGTCTCCAGCATTGCCATCTATCCAGTACTCTACCAACACACCACCTAGGCTGGGCCCCTAGTTAATTTTGTTTGTTTGTTTTGTTTTTAATTTTCCAGAAGGCATGTGTGCTCACCAGAGAGACGGAATGGGAGGAGCACCCTCTATGGGTCATGGTCACACTACAGTCTCTTTTCAATTTATTCCTCCTATTGAGATTTCAAGTATGCATGCACCAACTCCTTATGTGTTTTTCAGCTATGGAGTCTAGGACTCAGCCTGTACAATCAGCCATGTGGGATCCAGCTGCTTTAACCACCATGCCACAGGCAGGCCTGATCATTTTTGTAATAGCATATTAAGCTTGACTGATTCACACTTTCACTTCCCACCATGATCTGTTTATACTTGCTTTGGGGGCCAGCAGGGGGCGTGATAGTTAAGGGCACTGGACTCCTATGTGGTTGACAGCAGTTTGAGTCCCGGACCTGGTGGCTTTCTCTCTCTCTCCCTCTCTCTCTCTCTCTCTCTCTCTCTCTCTCTCTGTCTGTCTCTCTGCGCCCCCCCCACCCCCAGTCTGGTCAAATTAAAATAAAGTTCAATGAAATAATCTAGTATCTTGCTGTGTCCCTTCCTGGGTTCCATAAAACATTACAAGCATTGCAGAATTTATGTAAGCCCTGAGTAAGATAATCTCAAGTAAGCATTGTTAATAAAATGTAATCCATATGTGAAACACTAGAGAAATTTAGTAATTTTAGTGTTAGAATTGTGAGAGCATAATTTGGGATTTGGTATTCTTAAGGAATAAAACAAGAATAAATCACTTTATTTTAAAAGTTTTACGTCTATGGAAATGTATTAATGCCCTCAAGTCTAGTGTGACGAACTAAACAAAACTGCATTTTATGACTCCGAAGTTTAATTTTGCCTCTAAATTTGGAACAAAAACAAAAGTGAAAAGATGAAAGGAAAGGTGAACACTTTTTCCACAGGGCTGCTGTCCCTTCCCTCATTTTCTATTTTAAATCCCAATCAGTTCTCAAAGCCACTGAGTATTTCCACTAGTGATCTGCCTGCTGACAGACCAGTGCAAATGCCTCTAAAAATAACCAGTGTTTACTCATCAGGAAATATCCACAGTGCCATTGTTTACGATATTCTGGTTAACTTCTCTGCAAATATTAGATAATCTTTATTTCTTTTTTAAATCTTTAATCTTTAAAACGAATTGGGCAATTTTCAGTGAGTAGAGGCAGCTTAGGAGGGCACTGGAGAATGAGATAAAAACTGGAACTGAGCAGAGCACAAAGCCGAAGAGAGGTTTTTTATTTTTTATTTTTTTATATGTGATGGAAAATTGCATAGTACCTGATTTAAATGACAGACCTGCTAGGAATTTTAAATGACAATTCTTGGGGTAAAAAGTTTCATAAGGCCTTTTATAATACCATGAAATAGTTCAGACTGCAGTGTGTTTTTAAATCTACCTTATCTTGAGCTGGACCAATTTAAAGGTTTGTATTTTTAGAATCTAAATAGAAGCATTTTTCATTACAAAGCCTTTAAAAAACATTGAAAATTGATTTAAATTAAATACATAAAATGAAGAAAATACCTCCAAAGCCTAAATATAGATATTCTCTATATTTTTGCTTTCTCTGAAGCAGTGTACGTCAAATGATGCAAAGAATTTATACCTTTATATTGGATCATTTATTCACTTGTACTCCAGTCAAAGAATTTTAATTTATTTTAGATCTCTGAGATATAATACTTTTGTCATAGAGGAAACAAAGCAATTTTCCCTTTTCCTGCTTTTTATACAACCTTTATTCTACCCAGAGGACCACAGACATATAATCTTTCTCCAGTCAGTGAAGATACTATCATCTTCTACTACAGAGAGGGAAAATACAGTATTGTGCCATACTATGCAGCAACCACTAGCCACATGTGACTATTTAGTAAGATTAATT